AACGTTGAGCAAAATTTCTTGTGGGATTTGGAAGTGAAGCCATCAACAGCACCATACATAAGTGTTGATTGCTCACTTTTATGTTCCTCTTTTCTTTCACTAATTAAGTTACTATATAATTTGGTTGTTCATTTGTTTAAGTGAAATCAGTGAAAGACCCACTGTTGCTTAGCTTGGTGGTTGGAGAGTACGGTTGGGAACCTCTCAATTTGTGCTCGGTTTCCCTCGTGCAGCAGCGCTTCTTAAGTGGGGTCCAATCAAGTGCGTGCTAGGAGGTTTCTGGAGTAGGTGTCTCTTCTAGATCAGCCGAGGATTTGTCACGCCGCAAAACGTCCTTTCAGAGATGACATGGGGTGGATTCTCCGTTCTTTAAAAAAAAAAAAATCAGTGGAAGCAACAGAAAAGCAGAAGGCAGAGAAAAAAGATGAAAGAAAATTTATTTTCTATGTTTGTGGTTCCAATGAGAGTTAAACTAAGAAGGAAACTTATATTTTTAGATATTTGGTTATCCCTATAAAAATGCTAGAGCATTGAAGGTACAATGGTGCCAGACTGCCAGCTAATGAAGCGATATATGACTAAAGTGGTGATCTTACCTATGTATGTTCTATTGAGATATGTGTTGGCATTTGTAAAGCACTCAAGCATCCCAAACACTGATGTTTAGTTTAAAGTTATCTTTATATTAGTGAAGGAAAACCACTCAAAAAACATAAACAATAAAGAGAAAATCAATAATAATAAAAAAAAGAACACCAAGAATTAAAGTGAAAAAGTCTGAAATTGAGAAAAAAATCAAAGAGCAATGCTACACCAAAAAATTCATTATGAAAATTTGAAAGAACTAGTACAAATCTCCTTACTCTCTCACACTCTTCTTATCTCCCTTCATTCTTAATTGTATGGTTCTATGCTAGAACTAACAAAGAGACACATAAAATCACCAAAGGGACACAACCCTTCAGGCTAAACATGAAAAATGATAAAAAAATTGCCTAGTCGTAGCGCTGCAGTGCTTTACTATTTTGCCACGGAACCACAACCAAACCCAATAGGGGGAAGACCCACCACCCAACGAGCTCGATCGATGGAATTGAGGTCCAAATCAACAATACAATCCGATTGATCTACACAATCAAATTACACACATAACTAATACTTTAATTAGCTATAGACACATATGTTGGCCTTGTGGTTTTCAGACAATTAAATTCTCTCTCATATTAGGTTATAAGACTTAAGAAAAAAAAAAACTTGCATTTAGATTTTGTATTAGAACATGCACAAGTTAGGCTATCCTATATAGCTAGCAAGGTTTTAATTCTCACATCCTAAATTTAATAAGCTAGCATATCTTGCATTACATATGAAATTATAATGGTGTTGTTTTCAAAATAGTTAGATGGGTTTAGTTGGTGCCACTCGCTTCCACATAAATTATAAGTCAATAGCAAAAGAAATCTCTTTCTTTTCTTGAGATTAAGGCGTACAAATAAATCAACTAACATTATATTAGAATTAGTTAAATGGTTGTATCTCAGTGATATAATAAGTCCTTACATATAATTAACAACCTTAGTTATGATTTGATGAGCCTTTACCCTTGTTGTTTCCCAATAATTAAGCCATTATTATAAACCTAAATTAAAAAAAACATAGACAACTCAAACGTATAAGATTTTCTCTCCTTATAATTAATAGCCAAACATAAGATAACATCCTTAGGCATCTTGATATTTTCATGTTTAATATTCCGAGATTATCTTTTTCTCACTCCGTATCTTCTAGATGTTCTTAAACTCTCATCCTTTAAAACAAGCTTTACTAAACTCTAAGGTATAACAAACTACAAGAACTAACACATATAGGGAAAGCAAACTCCATAATTAAAAAAAAAAAAAAAAACTATCAATTTCATCATGTTGGGAAAGACAAATCTTTAGAAACTTATACATAATTTGTTTTCCAATGAACATATGGTTTTTTTTTCTACCTATGAAGGCGGTACATCATTGCCCTCATGAAGGGTCTCCTAAAGCCCACACAGCAATATCCATAGAAGCAATGGGATGGTTACAAGTTAACTTTAATTTTTCATTTTGTGGAAGAATTCTTGATTGCCTATCACTTTCACTCACTAGCTTTTATGACAATATCAAGTGCCTAACTCATCTTAAACAAATTATTTTAGGCTACGCTAATAGAGGAAGGGAAGTACCCAACTTAGCTTTAACTTTTTTGGGGGGCAAACAACGCGCACCAAATGATGCCATATTGAGGAGCCAAAATGACGCCCATTTAAAGTGCCAAACAACACTGGGTAACACATGTCCAGTGTGGCACAAGTGGTCAGCTTGCCGGACGGGCCCAAATACATGATCTATTGGGTTTGAATAGGCCTATTCCAACATTAATTTTTAGGGTCTTCAGACCATTTTTCGATGCTTTGAACTTAATTTTAGTACTCTCGTATTCCAACAAAGCCTTTACAGACTTTTTTTTGGAGGAATTCAAAATATTTTGGAGCAAAATTCTTTGACATTTTTTTGTTCCACTCTTCTCATCGACTTCATGAATACTTCAATTATAGTTAATAATATTTTACTTGGTTAACGACCTCGATTGGAGGTCCACGTTGACGTTGAGGGAGCGATCGTGCATTGTAATTATTCGAAAATTATAATTTTACGTCGAAACATTTTTGAAAGCATAGGCACAATTTTTTGGACTTCATGAGCTTTGACATATGAAATTATGGGGCAATTGATATGTCACCAAAAATCACCACAAATAGTCATGAATTTCGACGCGTAATTGAATTGAAGACTTTCAAATAAAAATTTGGGACCATTCGAAATCAAATATCAGCAAACTTACAGTCAAACTAAACGTCTAGATAAGACGAACCCAACAACATCAAAATCGGTCCAATCTGAGCTCCAACTAGCTCAAATAAAGGGCTTAAAGTATATTTGAAAGCTTAAGAGCATTAATTGGATGATCAAATGTTTTTCCAATCAGACACGCTTATAGTCGAATCAAGCAACTCAATGAGATGAATCTAACGAGCCCACTCAATTCTTATATCATTAAGACACTTAAATGCTGAATAAACACTTAAATATCAAGGTAATCGATATTGGAAGTGTTTTGGATTCCAATTCAAATCATCAAAATACCCTTCCAAAAAAGCTTATAAATATAACTCATTAGTCACATGAGGGGTGAATAATAGAGAGAGAACTAAAGAGCTCTCTTGCATCTTTCAGCCATCACCGCAGTCGACGACCACTAGTTAGTGCCGCTGACAACCACTACTGTCACCGACAATCGACATAAAAAATCACGACCATCTCCACAATAATAAAAAGATTCAACCGGCCTGTTGTTAGGTATATCTGTCCTCTTGTGGACATCTATTTTCTATAATTCCTATTGATAAAATCAAGTCATATTATTCAGTGTTAAATGTACACCTCTATGAACACTTGATTTTTGTAATCTCTCTTAGAGAAAATCAAGCATTTATTTAAACCCTCTCTTCTTCAATGGTAAAGAAAGAAGAATTCTTATATCTCTTATTGTATAGTGGATATTTCAATTGGGTCAATCCTATGATTTTTCGTCTTTTCAAAATTTTCACGTAAAAAATTTATTGTCTTACTACTTTTATCTATTCATGCTGAATGATGAATAACTCGTTCATAAAAAAACCAAAAAAAAAAAAAGACATTTATGAAAATTTTTTACGTTTTTACTGGCACTTTTAACTGCGTAAAATAGCCTTATAACAGTGCGCTATGATTACAAGCCGATGCAAAACTCTCTGATAGTGATTTTGAAACTACTGAGAAAGAGGCTTTACTATGGTGATTTTTGCAATAGTTTTAGCCATTGTTATTCTATAGCATCGGTTTTAACTGTTGTAACTTGTAAGGTAGTAGTAGTTAAAACTTCTTCTATAGGCTAGTAGTAATTACCACTTTTATGTAATATTATAATGGTTATTCATATGATATTGTATATGACACCTATATATAAATGCTATAAAGATTTATTGATTTATCACATAATTAATATTTACAGTGATAGAATGCATATTATTTAAATTTTTTGCCTTGAATATAATTGTAGGTTTCATATAATCTATTAAGCTGTTTGCTCATTTTATGTAAGTTTACATATTTTTAGGAATATGTTATTTTAGATGAATTCTTTTGTAATCATGCTTTAAGTGTATTTATTGAATTGATAGATTTTTTTATTATTTATAAATCATTTTGATATGAATAGATTTGAGATCTATATGTTTACATATTGGATGATAGCTTTTGTTTATATTATTTATTGATGAATTTGTAGATTTGTATGTTATATATATGATATAAAGAAATTCTCTCAAATAAAAGATCATGGATAAATCTACTGTCACGCATTCGACCTAGCATGACAAATCAGGATATATGAGTTATGTTGGGTTGGATCGTGACATGATGACATCTAAAAAAAGAGTTAGATGGAGATTTTGGATGATGAGGAAAGCGCCGATTCAAGCATCTATCATATAAGGACTATGGTTTGGATGAGAGAAAGAGTAGCAATTTCTGGGTATAGGGTCAGACTTAGATTTTTAATGATGAGGATGGTGTGGATTGGAGAAATTTAACATCTCATGAATGCTCCTTTTCTCCCCGACAAGTGCCTCAAAACCATCACATTTGTGTGCAAACATTAGAGAGGAAGAGAGTTCATTCAATTTAAATTGCTAAAAGTGGGCTTTCAATGAATGTATGATTGCTCAAAAAAAAAAAAAAAAAAATCAAAATGGTGACCACAAACTTAAATGTTGTACATCCAAATACAATTAAGACTCCGTTTAGGACGGCTTTTTTACCGCTTCTTAAAGTTGCTTTCTAATACAAAAATTCAAATTTTTATACTAAAAAACTGTTTTAAGAAGCAATAAGAAATCCGTCCCAAACGAAGCCTAAGCCAAGATATAAGAAGCAAAATCACAAACTTTATTACATAGCTGATTTCCACTTGGGCCAAACGATGACAGTCACACTATTAAAGTTCACGGTGCATGAAAAGTGTGTATTACACTCCTTGAAACAAAAATAAATCTACGCTTCATATGTCATGTATCAATTGCTGCTGAAAACTTTCAATTTTTTTTGCTTCTCACTGTGAAAAGAAATCTACCTCGCAGTACCAACCACCAAGTACAGAATTGCTTCCACCCAAATAGAAATCTCAAAGGCTCATCAAATATCACCGTATTTCCTACAAAACAATCAATCAACTAAGTGGAGCAGCAGAAGCTTTTAGTACTCCCACTGGAATCAGATACATTGATGGTTGTTCCCTGAATACGAGGTCCAGCCAAAGCTGCAGCCTCTTGTGCAGCAAGTGCCTTCTTGCTTACAATGCGGAAAATCTCCTTTAGTATAGTCTCGAAAGCTTTGTCTATATTGATTGCTTCCAATGCTGAAGTCTCCAGAAACGAAAGCCCTTCTTTCTCAGCCATCAACTGTGCATCTTCTGTTGAAATAGCTCTTAAATGTTTCAGATCGGACTTGTTACCAGCCATCATAATAACAATGTTGGAGTCTGCATGGTCTCTAAGTTCACGTAGCCACCTCTGGATATTTTCAAAAGTTTGCCTCTTAGTGATGTCATAAACGAGAAAGGCTCCAACTGCACCTCGGTAATAGGCACTGGTGATGGCTCTGTATCTTTCTTGGCCAGCAGTGTCCCATATCTGAGCCTTGACCATCTTCCCTTCTATCTGTTAGGGTGGAAGATTGAGAAGATGTGATGGCTAAGCATGTTATCATGTTGGTAGGAAGTACTTGAGTTTGCAAGTAACCCTAAGGGCAATACTTGAGTTCGCAAGCAAATCTAGCTAGCATTGGCAATAACAGCGAGAAAAAAGGGCTGATTTCAGAGAGAAATCAACAAAGATCATGCAGGAAATTTAGTAGGTTGGAGAGGAAACAAAAAAAGAAATACTTTGATTCAATCCACGAAAAAGAAAAATAAAGAAAGATACAAGTTTTCTCACTTCGAGAGGAAGAAACAACTCTCCAAATCTCTAGCAAAGCCTAGAGCCCACACAAACAAACCCTAGATATCAAAATTCAGTAAATCTCCATATCCCTCCAACCCTAGCCCCCATAGGACTAAATAAAGCCCAAGGAAGCTTACAAAATCCCTAAATAGACCCTAATTCAAATTTTCACTCCTAAACATAATTTAATTAAGTAGAGAGTCCCACTAAGGCTTCTGCCCCCTCCTTGGTTCCGCCTCATGCTTGGGCCGGCGGCTATAGCACTGAAACGGTCCATGTTGGACCGGTTCAGCGGCCCCTCTTGGGCTGGCAGCATAACACATGTCTACAATGTTTGTTTAACCAGCATGACCATAATTTTTTTTTCTGGAAATAGAGATCAGTTGCAGCTTCGTTTACTAAAACAGATCGCTAATATTTTCATTTGGTTTATCAAATTATATTCAGAGCTTTTAAAACACTTAATGGTTGACTAGGATTAAATGTGATATACTGTGACAGATTATGGAATGGTTTTGCAATAGCTATGAGATTCTCTGGAGGGAGAGACAGTCACCATGCATCTCCAAAGCTAGGAAAGGAAAATGCATATCACTTGACAATCGGTATAAACAATGCAAGCTAAAACGGCAAATTACAAAAATGCATCTGGAAATGCTTCCAAACTCGTATAAACTTCTCTGTTGCCATTTTACTAAGTTATTTGCATCTTTTGGCAGTATATGTCATATATGTGATGAGAAAGAAACCTATCAAAATAATATTATTAAGCAGTCGCACTGTGAATGGAGATTTGTTTTACTCACCAGTGTCCTTGCCCTTATATTGAAAAAAGAAATCAATAGGACTTATTTGATCCATACCCCCGGTTAAGGATTAGTATCTCTTTCAATCAATTAGATTCTAGATTTGTAGAAAGACCCCTATTCTTATCTCATTGATAGAGAAGAGACTAAATCCTGAATTCATTGATATGCTAGTTTTTATAACCGAAATAGTAAAAAAAATGATAGTAATAATAATAAAAAAGGTAAAATTGGGGTGATTTATATCCTTCATGCTTGGAGTTCTTCCTGGCAAGAAGAATATCCAAAGTTCAAATAGGCTTTAGTTTGTATTAAAAGCAAAGTTTCTCCTTTCTTTCAACTTTATAAATTGCAAGTTAAAATGACACTAGATTATATGGTTCATTTGATGTATAGACACGCTATAGTTGGTGTCAAAGGCAAGCTAAATGCTCAACTAGGTGCTCAGGTGAGGCAAAGCAATAACACAAGCACCATTATTAAGACATGCATAGGCAAGCACCTTGCCTTACTTGAGAGATAGTGCTAATACATCAATGCTTGAGATGAGTTGAGTTTTTGAGAATGATAATAAGGGATGAAGATAAATTAGCATCAAGAACATTGTTTAAAATTGCACAATATGAGACTTGCCTCAGCGCAATTCCAATGAAAAAAGCATCGAGGCTTACCTCTCAAACTTTTTTATGAGGCTTGCGCCTTAGCTTGACTGAGGCCCGCTTTGAGGTACACCATGCCTCGCTAACGTTAGGCTTACGCCTATATATATATATATATTAAAACTTACCTAAATCCTAAATTAAAGCCTCGAAAAAATCACGCTTTAATGCACTCCCAAGCTGCAGCAACTTCCTCTCGAATTCCATGACATCCAGCCCTCTGTTTTCTCCATAGTCAACATCGTCGTAGCTGCCGGGTATCACATGAAACTTGCATACCACCACCACTTCTTTTAAAATTTTAAGAGTATTAATCTCATCTTTATATTAATGAAAAATATTTATGAAAGAGAAAGATGACTGAAATAAACAAAGAAGAAGCAAATTGGGAGACATTGGACGCATTGGATGAGAGAATGGCGAGTCCAATTTGTTGTTATGATGACAACTCAAATAAAAACCTCCTTAGTGATAACAATGCAGATGAAATCTAAGTTTTTGTCAACTATTTCAGTTTTATGGAGGAATTTAATGTGAATTTAATGTGGATGAGTAGGGAACTAAGAGAGAAGGAATTTGGAGTTGAATTTGATATTATATAATACTTATATGTCATTCATATATTTAATATTATTTTGCTTTTATAATATTTGAATTTCAATTCATTTTCATGTAATTTATCACTTGACACTTTACGTCTTGTGAAATTTTGTATTTCCTAAGTATGTCAATTTCTTACTTCAAAATTCAATAAAGAAAGGTAACATGTCATCCTTTAACATATTATTTGGGCATTATATAAAAAATGACTTTTAACATTTATTTTGACTTAACACAATGTTTTGATTTTGAGGCTTAAGCCTCAAAACGCTTGAGGCTTACACCACGCCTCACAAACAAAAAATGCCTCAATACCCAATTACACAATTTTAAACCTTAATCTAGAATAAGAATGTTCATTTGAAAACAAGTTGAATCAAATATATAGTAAGAGCTCCATGATTTAGATTTGTAAATCTTGATGATAAAGAGGATAAATACCATCAGACAAAGGAATAAATAGAGGACTAAAAAAATAGTGATGAAGAAGAGAGCATGGATGTTTTTGAAGATGAGATGATGGAATAAATGGAGGACTGAAAAATCAGTGATAGAGAATATAACATGACTGTTTAGATAGATGGAATAGATAATAATGAAGACTATATTATCCCTAGACTACAAACTTTAAGTTGTTTGATTGCATATATTTAAGATTAACTATTTAACAAGAATTTCAAATTTGGAATGCAATGAAATTTGAAGAGTATTTTTCCAACGTAATTTCATGTGTTGATTGTAATTTTATATTCCACAAAACTATTCCTAAAAATAATAAAAAATTATAAGTTATAAAGCTTTTTCTTTTCTAACATCTTACTTCACTTAGGTGAGCACCGTGGTGGCATTTAGTGCCTCAGGAGTAAGGGTTTTTGGTACTTTTATAAAAAGCTCGTGTTGCACAACTCCCTTACTGGGAAGATACATTTGAATTATTATTATTATTTTTTCAAAGGTTGACCAGCAAAGTTGCAAAAGAGAGGCAGAAGCAATTTAGAATGCCATAAATAAGATGGAATTTTGAAAGAACCAAATAGTTATCTAAGATATCATTTTTATGGTTACCTAGATAACAACCAACATCAGTAAGAACCTCTATTTTCCTGATTGTGATGTTCTTGCTAGGGTTTACATTACAAGTGTCATGCAATTACTATTGTAACCATAAAAGCTAGTGTTCGTGGATAAATGTCGCACAATCATGTACACAGCTTCCTAAGAGTGGTTACCAAAGAATCAGATCAAATAAATATCATACATAAAATGGGTTGAAGGAACAGTATCTCCAGTTTCATCCTTTCTTTTTCCAAACAATGCTGTTAAAACATATGGATCAGAATCTATGATGCTTGAAGAAGTTATCTTTGGTCACTGACGTTACATAAAATTCAATTAAATTTTATTTTTTTCTTTACTTGACAAGATACAATCAGCATCAAACCGGAGAAATGATTGTTGCAAAAAATAGCACACGCGGTGATAGCAAACAGAAATGAACTATGGTATTTTTTTCAAATACTAGTTGCATCTCGAATAGAGTTTAAGGCATTTTCTCAGAACCATGTTATGCTCACCCATATTATTCCTGAGCTGCTTAGATGTAGCAGTTTACTGTTATTCAGTGATTTACCTGATAGCTGGAGTGAATCTCTAATCTATGTACAAATTCACTTTTCCTAGGTGTACATATCACGTACATCTTAAACAAGAAATCAAATAAATTCTGTTGCAGCTTAAAATAAGACCATAGGAGTTATCTAGTACATAACATAAATTAATCACAATTTCTACTCTTAAAAACTATCAAGATAACATAATCTATTTGAAATGGTTGAACTACAGGCAGAAAACCCATTTCAGCGGTTTTTCTGTATGTAAGTGAACCGACAAGACAAGCAAAAAATTAGCTAGGACAGACAAAGCCTAAGAAATATAATTCTTGCCATCATTCAAAGAACAATTATGGCAGAAACAAATCTAAAAAGAGCAAAGTGCATATGTTTAGCTCATGTTGAGACACTTACGACAGAATTAAGTACTTAAAAGAATATCATCCTGCTAATAAATATAATATTGAAAAATCTTTGATGCACAGATCTCTATATATTATAAGAAATAGCAACATCATACTAAAAAAAGCCCTCAACAAATAAAATCTAACAAAGAAAATATTGATTGGTTGGGAGGAAGAAAAAAACATTAGAAAAATACAATCGCTGCAGTTTTCTAAAACAATGCCCCTGCCATTTAACTATGTCAATCACGTTGACAACAGAGATTCATCATTTCTATACATGGTCATGTAAATTTTGTAATTGCTAACATCAATACATCATGATCATAATTGATCTTATACCAACATTTCGTTGGCATTAGGCATCCTCAATCTTGATTCCTGTTCAGCAACATCAGATGCAATTTTCTTTTTCACATATCATCCTGCACAACTACTTACCTTGCTAAAGTGGTTTAACCCTTCTTCTTCAAAATTCATTTAATGGTTGTTTGTTTGGATGTTTGCAAAATGCATGCCTCCTAGACATGCAAATTAACAAAAATGCATGCAACTTAAAGCTACAAGAGATGTTTAATTGGATGCAAATCAAATGCATTGAAATAAATTTTAATTATTTTTAGGATAAATTTCAAATACATTAAAATGTATCCTTATCTCTATTATCCACGAGATGGTCTTAGCTAAGGTTGTTGATGATGAGAGAGGGATCGAAGGAGGTTATTGGTGACAAAATCATTCTAGGCAAGAAGGTGGTGGGAATGGGTTGGGCTGGGTGCGAGATGGAGGTGGAGGTGGTTGAAGGTAATGAGAGGGCTCAAAGGAGATTGCTTTCAATGGAAAAATAAGGACGAGTGAGGGATACATCGGAAAGAGGAGAGGTTGTCGTGACATGGAGGGATTCGAGGGAGGTTGAGGGCGACATGAGGTTTTCGAAGGAGATTGGCGAAGGCGGGAGGAACTTGTGGAAGGTTGCTAATGATAGGAGCAACTCGAGCGAGACTGCCAACAATAGATATTGAGACAAGCGATGGTAGAACTTATAAGTGGTAGAACTTATAAGAGGAAGACGTATGGTTTGGAAATCTATTGATTTGACTGATAAGCAAGTAATGAAATGGGGTCATTATTTCTAATACTTCAAACTTTTACTTTTACTTTGTTTTGTTTTAAACCAAATACCAAAAGATAAAATACAGGTGATCGTAATACAATATTCTCCTAATGCTTTTAACAAAACAACCCCAACATTAATTCTATGTATTCATCTTTGATAAGCCTTTTACCTCCATTCTACATGCCTAAACCAAAAAGTCTACTTTTCATATTATTTACATTATGTGTTCAATGAGCATCTCTTTCCAACATCCATCATAATATTATAATTTTTGTTACACCAAATTTATTGCAAGCAATTTCATTGAACATCAAGACATTTCAAATAAGCCTGTTATCACCGTTCTTGCGCAATTTTGGCTCAAACCATAAAAAGGTTCAAAGTTCAAATCTTCAACATTCCATCATTATCTCGTTTAAATGACCATAACTTTTATTATTGCAGTATCACAGACGAAATTAAAAATTTTAATGGCGCCATAGATGCTAATTAAAATATCAAAGAGACCATGAAAATAATCCAACAAGCAAAATCCCGGAGTAATATTTGATGAGATTCAATCACTAAAGTCACGAAACTAAAACTCTATGCTAATAACGAGCTCAGGTATTAACAATAATTTCGTTAACAAACAAGAGGGTGTTTTTCAAATGTCCTGCATCAGAAATCAAGAGGATCAGACTCACGGCTTTGTGGAAGAAAGAGGCAATAAAAGTCAAATCAGATGAAACTCTTACGGCGCAGAATGACGGAAGTAAAACAATCGTTTGCAAAGGTACATGTTTACAAAGGCCACTTTTTATCTCTTATTAATAATTCGTGTACCATAATAAATTATTACGTAATGAAACAACTAAACCAAACCTAAGCTCTGAAGAAGTAAATCCCAGCTGCTCCGAACATTTCCAGGAACGGAGATCCAAGGGCAGAAAATCTCACCTGAAGCGTTTTCGTGGCGAATTCCACACCGATCGTGGATTTGGAATCCAAGGAGAACTCGTTCCGGGTAAACCTCGACAGTATGTTGGATTTTCCAACACCGGAGTCACCTATAAGCACGATCTTAAAGAGATAATCATATTCATGATCTATTTTGTGTGCCATTCCAGTTCCAGCTATTGCTCCACTGCTTGCCCAATCTGCATCATGCCCAAATAAAATCTAATCAATGATCAAAGAAATCAATAACGAACGGAAAAGCGAAATCGGCAATAGCGCCATACATCCCCACCACCAAATCGAAAGATCGGATCAAATGAACCCTAGAAAAGTTCAGACTGGTGTAGCGAGGGGCGGAGATGGATAGGGAGAAGGAGAGCCGGCACGATGTGCACAGAAACACCTTCCGAGCTGGAGTCAATATGAGAATTTAAAGAAAGTTGGACAAGAGAAGAGACGCAGCTCCGAATTAAGAATTCTAACATAGCGGATTCGGTTTCGGTTTCGGTTTCGGACGATCGTGAGGGCTCCTGCTGTAAGCCAACGAATAAACAGTTGGATTCCCATTTCAGAAGATTCAGCGTATTTATTATATTTAGATGATTTAAAAAAATCGAATAAAAATTAAAATTTTAAATTAATGAATAAATTAAAATTTTAAAAAATATCCATTTCAAAATAAATTATTATTACAACTTATTTTCTGTTATTATACTAATTTTATTATATTTTACACACTTGAAAATTTATTTTATTAATAGAAATATAATTATAATAAACATATGGGGCCGATAACAAGATGGGTGATTAAACTTCTAACTTTTTGTCAATCTTTAAAAATATTTATTAAAATTACTAGATAAAAATGTATTAAATTATAATTTATTTTATGATTAAAATATTATAATAAAATTATTGAAAAGATATCAAGGTAGATAGATAAAAAAATCGTTGAGATTAATTAAATTCAAATTTTAAATGTTTAGTAATCTAATTTTACTTATGTTAAAGTTAATTAAAAAATGATGAAATTCATCCATGCATCAGTTGTAAAAAGGAGTGGTAGTAAATGATTGCAATGACAACTGCATCATTGAATAGAGTGAGTAGTAAGATATGGCACCATTGACAAAAGTTGTAATGTTTTTATTAGAGTTTATGATGATAATGGATGATCTCTAATTGATTAGTGATAGTGTCAAAGATATTGCATGTGACCTACTTATTTTACAAAGTTAACTATTCTTCTTGCACTATAGGAAAAATGTTAAATTCTGGTGATTTTTTTGGCGGAAATAAATTCGTCAGAAATTTCGATGGACTGACTAGTTTTTCAACATATTTTTTGGTGGATTTCCGATGTAATTTTGAATTTTTTGTAAACTATCTATTACTTTTTTAAAAAATTATTCTTTTTGTTAAATTTAATTAATTAAAATAAATATTGTTAAACTAAAATAATAAAAAAGTTTTAATAATAATAATAATAATATTAATTAAAATAAATTAATTAGGTAATCTAATACATATTGTTAAATATAATAAATAATATAAACATATTATGCTATAAAAATAATTATTAAGAAAGTATAATTTAAATAAAAAATACAACATAGATAACATAATATGTAGAGCAGCTCATTAGATAGAGGTGCTTTGAAGTTTTTGAAGAAAGCGGGGGCAAAGTACAAGGAGGGCCTAGTTCACGGGCCTGCAAAGTTAGCAGTCCGGCTTGGTTCACGCGCTTGGGCTAAATAATATTTTTGTTTATTTTTTTCTAAGAAATTTCAGGCGGAATTTTTTCAACAAGATTTGTTTTTTCGACGCATGATTTACCGTCAGAAAAATTTCCGTCAGAAAAATTTCCGTCAGAAATCTGTCGAAAATATAAATTAAAAATGGATTTCATCCATTTTCTGATGGAAATGACCATTAGAAAATGACGTTCTTCCTATAGTGTTGAGAGGAGTTAATTTAAGATGAATGACAAGTGAAATGGAATATCAACATAGTGATAGTTTGAAAAAGCAAAGATATCTTTGGACGAACTACCTATTAATGATCTTATGACAACATGAATGAATATATATAGTATGTCGCTCATATTTATGCTAACTTATCGACGTAATTTGATGGCTCATCGAGCATCATTGTTAGCGAAAGTGCATACAATATAGATGTGAATGCTTTAGATTATTGTTATAGGACCATTTAGGCCTCAATTCAAACAGTTTATGCATCCACTAATTTGATGTGAAGTCACATCTTTATTTTTCTAGGTGGGGGCTAACACATCAATTTCAGCCTATTTGGTTTCTTTGGCAGAGAAAAGTTAAATTGGTCATCAATTCAATTATTGGATTGCTTAAGATGTGAACTTGTGTAAAAAGTTGTGCTCTAGAGAATATTTTGATCCTAAATATCTTTACTAAAATAATCATTAAAACCATGCATTAGGACTAAGAGCCATGTATCTGATGAGAAAGAAATGGCAAGGTGGAAAGGTTCCTTAATAGGAACGGAACTCTACTTTTATTGGTCAACCTATTATAAAATGACATCTTTCATGTTGCTAATTAAAACATATTTGCAACAATGTGATCATTATTGATGTATCATCAAAAAATTATCTTGATCAGGCACGAATCTTGAGGCAAAATTGAGTTGAAAGATTCTGAAATTAAAGCTAGGACCATCCAAACTCTGATTTTAGCAAACTTATAGTTGAACTGAATGTCTCGAAAAGATAAACCCAACGACACCAAAATCAATCCAATCCGAACCCAAATGAACCCAAATCAAGGGTTCAAAGCATATTTGGAATGTTCAAAGCATAATTTAGATTACCAAACGAATTCTAAACGTGACATGCTTATAGACGAATAGAGCAAGTTGATGAAACGAATCCAACAAGCCCAAGATCTCCAAATTTTGGTATCATTAAGACATCCAAATGCCCAATAAACGGTCCACGATGAAAGGGATCAATATTTATCGTCCATTCAAACCACGCCCATATGTATCTTGATCCTCCCCATATTTAGAAGTCATGCCACTCTAAAAAAACTATATATAAGTCACATTCTTCTATGAAGGGAGGAGAAAAGGAGGAGGATGAAAGAATTTGGGAGCTTGCTTGTCGCCGAACACCGTTGCAGTTCTTCTCGATCACCGCCAGACTTCTGCCAGTCTGCCAACCATTGCTAAACTTCCTTCTGTTCTTCGATCACTACCAGAGCTTTTCCTGACCACCACCAGACTTCCGCCCTTTTGCCGACCACCACCTAACTTCGACCTCTTCGTCGTTTGCAACCGGACTTCTGCTTATTCTTCGACCATTGTCGAACTTACGCCTGTTCGTCAACCGCTGCTGAATTTCTGCAAGTTCGTCAACCTTTACCGAACTTCCGCCCGTCCTCCGACAACTGCTGGACTTCCACACAGTTGTCGACCACCACCAGAGTTCATCCTAACCACCGTCGGACTTCCGCGTGTTTGATGACCACTGCCAGAGTTCTTCTCGACCACCGATGGACTTCTACTAGTTATCCGACCACATTGAAATTCCATCCGTCCATCAACCACCGACAAACTTCAGCAATCCGGTGACCATCGCTGGACTTCCTCCAGTTTGCCGACCACTGTCAGACTTCTACCTCTTTATCAACCAATGTCGGACTTCTGCGTGTTATCGACCATTACTGAACCTCCGCCTATTTGTCGACTGCAGCCAAATTTATACTTGTTCATCAGCCTTTGTCAAACTTTCACACGTTCACCAATCACCGCTTGAGTTCTTTTTTATCGCTGTTGGAATTCCCCCATTGTCTGCTGACTACGATACTCCCGACCTCCGTCGCCCGCCAACTACGGTTATTCCAACCCCCATAACTAACTATAGTCTTTCTGATCCTTGTTGTCCGCCGACTACGGATGTTCCTACTAGCATCGTCAACTATGGCCCTTCTGACCACCGTCGCTTGCCGATTATGATCCTTTCGATCACGCCCAAGTACGGTTCTTCCAACCACCATGACAAACTACAGTCTTTCTGATCCCCGTTGTCCGCCGACTACGATCCTCCCGACCTCTATCACCCACCGACTATGGTCCTTATAACCACCATCGTCTGATTACGATATTTACAACCTCCGTCGCCCAACTACGGTCCTTCTGACCAATTCGCCCGACTATGATTCTTCTGACCACTGTCATTTGTCTACTGTACTTCTAACATACATTGTTTGCTGATTATGGTCCTGCCTCCCAAACAAACATATCAAAATATTGATTATTCAAACTCCCATCATATAATGCATTATATATGATGTATATTTGCGACATCGAGTTAAGATCTTCCTTCCAAGGAAGGGCATCATTTGTAATCAATTGCAAACACTAGTGGATTCATTCAAATTGGGTTAGGCCTCATGATTTTTATACTTTTCAGTGGGTTTCCACGTAAAAATTATGGTGTCCCTAATAAATTCTCTAATCATACTCTCTTATCTATCTGTGTGCTTGATCTTTGTACAATGCTAAGATGCTAAACGATATCACTCTTTGCCGCCGCAAACATTCTTGGACGCAATAATTATTATGGTCTCAATCAAGAAAAAATATTATGTACAGACCCCGGACAGCATCCGAAGACCAATCAGAATGCATCACGTAACTTTTCTTACTCAGTACCGGTGCACGGTACTGCTGTGTACCGGGTGACGTGGCATGTTCTGATTGATCTCCGGGCCGTCCGATGACCACACATAATTATTTCTCCTCAATCAAAGAGTTTTAAGAAACTCTAGAGGGATCCATTAGGAGACCCTACTAGAACCATCATAATATACCATGACAAAATGATATGCATATATTAAACACTAATTAAACTATAAATATAATTTAAAAAATAAGTTATTTACTCATATTCATCGTCATTATTATTAGAAATATACGATTTATAAATATTTTAAATAAAGTCATATTCCTCTTGCTCATTATGCTCCTCATTATCATCATCATCATTTTTTCTTTCTTTCTTCTCGATCTTGCCCTTAGCTAGCGACTCATATTTCCTCTATTAACTTCGTTAAATATAATCTTAGCCATAATGAAAATTTCTCTCTTCATTTCAACCTCCAAAAAATATAAATGGATAGTACTTTACCTATATCTCATATTTAATCATATTTATTTTTAAATTTATAGTTTATTAAATTTCAGAAAAGATGATTTGATTATTCCACCCTCTTCATGAATTTGTTTCAATATAATTTCGGCCAATGAGGATCGAGTCACTATGAAGAGTTTTGAATATTACTGCTTAATTAATAATTAGCAAAACCAACTAAGCATTTGAGTAATACAGAAGGAACCAATTGAACTTAATTATCAATCTTTAGATTAGATAGTCCTTTGGTCTATCATCAATAAAAAAAACATGTGGTTACTTGAAGTATCATTTTTCTTTTCTTTTCTTTTTAAATTAAGGAGTTTGTTGCATCCATTACTTATTTTTACTAGTTT